AGCAAGAAGTATGGTTATTTAAAAAGATGTGTATATTGAAAAGAAAAGAAAATGAAAAGAACCCCAAGGAAGATTTATAAAGAAGTAACTGTCACAGGCCTTCCCTCATGCAATATAAAGAAAAAGCAAGATCTCCAAACTTGCTTTTCTCTGGCCAGAAGTCCCATTCCAATGCACTAGTATATTTCTTTAAATTTCTTGAGGGTCTTATAGTAAAAAAAGAGGAAGTGTGAAGGACTTTTGGATATTGAAAGGAAAAAAAATATTTGTTTCTTTAATTTTGAAGAAAAATTACTATAAAAGGAAATTTTTAAGAAAAAAGCTGTATACATGAAAGAGTTTTTTTTAGCAATTGATTAAAATCAATATTTTATAATAAAATTACTAATTAATTAATAACAAAACTTTATTATTATTATTATTAGTATCACAAAATTATTTTATTGAAGTTTTATTTAAATTAAATAAATATTTATTGAATTATAATAAAAAATATTAGTTCAAAAACTTTTGCACCATACTGTATATATTTAAAATATAATATTTTTGTACAGAATAAGTATATTCTATAATAAAAATATAAACCAAGATATAGATACTATTTTTATCAAAATATTTAAATATGTTGGCATTCATATTGTTGGGGGTTATAACGATGAGTCTGTCGCTATATCGCAATCGCTGATCGTGTAATGTCGAAAGAGGTGTAGAGATGTAGCACGAGGTAAGTGAAAGTGTTAGATAATAGTCTGAGTTTTATAGTAAAAGGATGGTATGTTATTCTTGCTTTTTCTCTAGTACATTCCTCTCTTTATATACATGTTAAGAAATTCCAAAAATCCTAAAAATCCCTCAAGCCCCAATTAAACCCCAATTGGGCGAGGATGACATATGTTGAATCTATCTAATTTTTCGGTCCCTCTTACAATATAGATAAATATTTTGGTGAAGATAATATAAAAGATAAAGATAGAATAGAATAGAAATATTTTAGAAATTATAATATAACAATTTGAGTATTGATCTGCCATATGACACTGGATACATGCCATGATCACCAGGTTATCAATCACTTAAAGTCACACCATATGGGTTTTGCAAGGGTAAATTATATTATTAATTGCATTTATATTAATATTACCATATTAGGTATACAAGAGGGTCTTGTTTTACTTATTTAATATACAAGAGGTTTTATTTTCTATTTTTATTTCATTTATTTTATTATGTTTACATTTACTATGTCATTATGCATATGTTTTCTGAAAGGTTAAGCCTTATATATATATATGTATAATATATTGTATATGTATTTTTATTTTATTTATTATTTTGAAAAAAGGTTTATAACAATGAAAATATATTTAAGAATGCTCTTTTGACTTTTAATAAAAATTAACTGATAATTTTACAACTATAAAATTATCTTGTTTATACCTAAAAGTTTTAATAAAAGAATTTTATTCTTGACATTTACAGATAAAGATATAAAAGATACAATAGATACAAAAAAAGCAACAGCAAATCTGTAATGCAAGAATATTCTAATGCAAATAAAATTTCAAGAATAAATACTAGTAAAAATTGAATAATGAATAATGAAGATCTTGAGTAAAAATAAAACTTTCTTCTGATTATATCTGTTTTATTAAAAATTTTTCTTTTATAGTAATTTTAAGTAAGAAAAAATGGTTTATATTCTTTATTACAAGTAAGTTCCAGCTTAAGAACTTAAGAACCTTCAAAACAACTGATGCAGTAGGATGGGATCTCTAGTTAAAGTCTATTTAAGTTTGGGAGTCTTGCTTATCCTTCAGTTACATGAGAAAAAGTTCATGACAGTTCTTTTTTCTTTTGTTTTCTTGCATATATTCTTATTCTTGTTATATTATAAAAACTATCTATATCAATATTATTATACTTGCTAAATAAAATACTTTCTAAAAAATACACTCAAACAAAGTTGTAAGACTTAATATTTGTTTTAAGTCAACTATCATATATAACTTTACAATAGCAATATTTGCTATATCATTTCGAAATTTTCAAAAAATTCTATTTAAAAAACTAAAATCAGTTTACTCCTTCCAGAAGATTATTACTCTTCAATTATCCAATCAAATTTCGTCAAAACAATAAAGCAAAAACAGAACCTGTTTAAACTAGTTTTTCAATACAACAATAACAATAACAACAATAATAACTTTAAACAACATTAATTATACTATAATTTTTTTGTTACTAAGCATATGCCAACAATGGGAAAATTTAGTAGACTCCAGTTTCTATAACTGGGCAAGAGGTTTCTCTGAATATATAATCTTTACTATCAAAAATTTTATTGCTTATTTGATTTAGTTTCAGCCCTAATTATTTTATTATTATATATATAAATATTTTTATATATTCAAAAAATCAAAAGATTTTGTAAAACTTCCTGAATTGATAGGCATAGTTGCTACTCAGTTTTATTTAACATTATAATATTGTTTTTGAAATTTTTTACAATATTAGTTAGATAATATTAAATAGACAAGCTAGTATTTAACTTTCTTAAAATAATGAAAAAAATATTGTTTCTTTCATAATGTATACCTTGTTATATACAATATTAAATAAAGAAACAATATTCATCTATAGAAAAAACCCTTCAAAAAAAGATCTTGGGTAAAAATCAAGTATAATACTATATAAAAAAATTAAAAAAAAATAATTTAAACTCTTACTTTATCCAGAATGATCTTCTAAGTTATCTTTCAAGAAACTCAATAATTTTAATAAACTTATAAAAAAGAATTCAGAAATTTCTGTTAAAAAACTTGTATTTAATTGAATATTAGTAATTTATATTTGAAAATATCAATAAAAACTATTAATAAGATGCTTAAAAACCATAAATAAATAGTTACAATTTTTAAATAAGTTTTTTTTTTTACTAAAGAATACAAAAATTATTGCTTAGAATAAATTAAAGCTTATATTAATCAAAAATAGAGCCAAGTCATTTTTTTTTATAAATATACCTTTCAAATATTCTATAATACAATACAAGTTTATTATATAGTCATATAGATTAATTATAATATCTTAGATTAAATATCTATACAAAATTTATATATATAATATATTTTTAATAGAAGATATTGTTAGTTTTTATGTGTTTACTCAAAATATGGATAGGAATTATACCATCAAATTCTTGTAAATAATCTTGCTAATATATAAATTGTAATAAGTTATAGTTGAATTTTTTAATAAAATAAAGACCTTAAATACATGACAAAAGCAATAAAGCAATTTTTGACTGATTCTTATACAAGAGTTTTAAACTGGATATCAAACTTATTAGATTTTATCCTATTTAAAAATCTATAAACAATTTTTTAAAAAAAGTAGAAAAAGAATTAATAAGAAGGTGCAGAAAAAATATATATTATATCTATTAAGTTTAAAGAATTAATTAGATTAGAATAAGTAGATCTTGAAAAAACATACCAATTAAATTAATAAAAAATATATCTTATTGTTTGAAAGAGTTGGTAACTGAAAATAAACATAAAATAAATTATTAAAAAAATATATTAGTTAATATATTAGTTTAGCTATTTTTTTTTTATTTAATAAATATTTTTTTAAATAAATAAAAATAAATTTAAAATTCTTATTATTTATGGCTACCATTGTATATACAGTACATAGTTTATGTGATTATGTCTATATATTTCATATTTTATTATTAATTATATAATAATAATTACTTTATTAATAAATATCATGAAACATGTCTTATCTTAACATTAAAAAAAAAAATCAAATAAAGTTATTATATGTATTTTATATACAATAATAATGAATTTGTAATTTTTTGTATAAATTTAAAATGTCTTTCAATTCAAAAACCCAATAAATAAATTTATTATTAATAAGAATAATAATTATTTTTATAAATAGTAATATTATGAATGATATTCGAAGAATTTAATATAATCAAAGTTATAATAATTATTTATATTGTGTGTTTTTATAAGTCAGAAGAGTTCAAAATTTGATCTTACAAAAATTTACTTCTTAAACTGTTTATATATCATCATGGGTTATTTTATTTATTTTAGTCGGCTAGTACATAACATTGATTTACTTTACAAATTAAATATACTGTATATAAAATAAGAGTTCGTTTATATTAATATTAAAAACAATAGCAAAATTCTTCTTTTGAATAAAAAAAATGATAAGCAAAAATAGCAAAGTAGATTTCATTCAATATGTAGTCTCATTAACCATTTTATGTTTGAATGCCACAAAATAATATATTTTCTACTCTGGAAGAACAGCCACAGACCTTCTAATGTCGTTCAACATCTTTTTTCTCCATTGATCATAACACATTGTAGAAGATTTACCATCAACTTCGTCAGCGATTTGCTTCCAATCCAAACTGGGAAGTCGCTTGAGAATAGCGTCTAAAAGTTGAATACGTTGTTCGGGCTTCCAACCTTTGGGCTTGAAAACAGGCTTGACTTATATATATTTTTTTAGAAAAAAAAGAAAGACACATAAATTAATAATATTAATGATTTATTTTTATTCGAACATCTAATTTAAAATTTTTCATAATTATATAATGAAATTAATAGCCGTTTAATATACCCAAAATTGTTTCTTCCGTTCTTGGCCCGTAATCATTTAAAGAATTTGAAGAGGTATTGTGATCTGATCGACTTGACTCTTTATCTTCACCACCAACTTCCTCTATTTTAGAAAGTTTTCGACGACGGTTAACGGCTGTAGTGGCAGGTGCATCACCACCGCCAGATTCCTCGGATTTCGCGGGTTTACGTCGTCGTTTTTGGCTGGTGGCAATATTTGAAGATGTGGACATCGTTTGAGTGAGAAGAGGTTTGATATACTGATCTTCTAAACTTATGGGAAAAGGCTATGAAAGGAAAGGAAAAAGAATAATGTTGGATCAGACGGGAGCTGATTTCTAAAATTATACTATCTGTTTTTTTTGCCATGATTTAATTCTGAGTCACTGTTTGTGGTAGGAAAATCTTTGATATCGAACATTTTTATTTTGTCATTTGTCTCTTTTTTTTTAATTTATCAAAACCAAGAAAGATTTGAGCTAAAATTATTAAATCAATTATATTGGTAAATATGGCACATGTGATTATTTTGGCGTAATGGCAAGATTAATGCACACAATATTTTCATGCCATCTTCATATTATAATTAGTTCGACGTGATATAAGTTAGCTGTCTTATATTTACAGTATTTCCAAAAACATACTGTAGTTTAAATGAACCAGGTCTTAATATGCAATCTTTGATTCTGTATTTCCCGATGTTATCCTGATCAAATGTGCAACTAATAATTTTAATGCTATCAATAACTCTTTATTAAATAATATTTATTTAGCGTTAAAACATAGGTAGTGAAGTTTTAACTTATATTTCAATATACGTTATATTATTTTGAAATAAATTACAATAACCATTGTAAATGGTACAAGTGAACACAAATATGTGACCTATGCGGTCATGTTATTTATAAGCGAAATTGGCATCATTCTCATCATTCTCATTATTTTTATTATTTTTATTATTTGATTATTTTAATTATTAGCTTATTTTCACTATTTGGATTATTTTAATTATTATTACTATTTCATTATTTTGATTATTTTACTAATAATATAAATAAATAAATGGTATAATTGGCAAGTCTGATATTACATTACAATTGCTGATTGTATAATGTCTAATGAAGGCATGTGGATGTTATATAAGATAAGTAAAAGTATTAAATATTGAATTAAGTATTTTTTAAAAAAATCAATATTGTTGATTCTCTCTTAATACATTTTTCTCTCTCTTTTATACATATAAGAAAATCTCAAAAATCTCTCAAATTTCAATTATACTCCAATTGGGAAAAACTATACATATGGCATAAATTATTTGCTGTTGATTCAATTTTCAAAATTCTCAAAAATAATTGTATCATGATTCAATTATTTATATGTTTTAATTGTGACTCAGTTAATTGTGTTAAGAATTTATGAATTTTAGCAATATATATAATAAAAACATTATATATCTTTATTATATAATTTATTTAATTCTTTTATAATATATATAAATAAAATTAAATCTTTTAATGAATTTTTTAAAACTGTTATTAATAATTTCTATTAATAAGGCTTTTATAAGTATTTGAATAATTACTTGACTTTTACAATAAAAACTTTAATATTATTTATGAATAAATAAATTCTATGCATATATTATATATATATTCTAATTGTTTTTATTAAAAGTATTAAGTTTTATTAGGTTTATTAGAAATTTAAACCATGTATATTTATATATGATTTTATAAATTGAACTTTATAATTAGAAAAGTTCAATTAATATCTTATATTATCTAATAAATTATTTTGATAATAAAAGTTATAATTTTATAAATACTGTAAAACAAATAATTTTAAAAAAATTTTTGTAAAAAATTTTTTAATATTTAATTAAAAATTATAAGATTTGTTTTTTAATATTTATATTTTCTTTATTTTTATTATAAGAGTCTTAAGAAAATCAAAAAATTATAATAATACAGTATATTAAAACAAAACCTTTGATTAAGAAAAGGTTTATAATTACTTTTTTATAAATCTTTTTTGAAATCATTTTATTTTATTTTTTTAATGTTAGAGTGAGGTATTACTTATGATCTTTATTATAAAGTAAAAGTTAACTTGTTATATGATTAATATTAAGATATAAATTATATCGCTATAGATATTATTTTACCACCCATTAAATAAATATATCATCTGAAAAACTCTTGAGCAAAAAAAACCTGAGGAACTATTTGTTGTAAAAAATAAAAAATAAAAAAATATTTAGAACAAGATCACCAGCATTGTATAACATTTGGTCAAGAAGAAAAAAAAATTGAAACTTTTATTAGATATTGTTTCTGAATACAATTAGGTGTTCAGTCAGGTATCGGCACCATGCAAGCCACATGTAACTTGATGGATTAGGTTATGTAATGTTTTGTAGTGTTGTTGTTATATGATTTGGTCATGTTATAATGAAATTTGGTTGTGTTGTAATGTGAATAATAGGATAACTGGAATATGTTTCAGATATCTATTATATTGTTATGATGGGGTGTTATATATTGTAATTACCAGAACTTGTACAGGGCACTAATCACGTGCTCTTCCAATCCAGTAAGCTGTTATGTTGTTTTGGTGTATGAAAGTGATACAGAATGTGATTGGTGTTTTATGTGTTGCAAATCATTAGATAGGGATAAGCTGGTTACAGTTTTTGTATTGAAATTTGTAGATAAAAACTGGTAACTAGCCAAAAGATTATGTGAAATCTAGCACTAGTTATCATCAGCAGAAAACAAAAAAACTCTAAAAAATAAAATGCTGCCTCTTAAGAATGAGATTATTTTTGAGTTAAGAATGAAAGATATGATTGTTTTGTAATAGTTATGTATAGAAATGGCCTTCACATAGAAAATTTTTTTTTTATTTGTCTTCTCTATTCCAAGTTATTGCCCAGTACTATTACCAGTCACTAGACCTCTTAGTGTAAGTTCTATTGCTAGAAACCCCAGGGGCCAATCTTATCCTTGGAACCCCCACTGCTTTAAATCAGTCCTCCAGTTTATGTTTCTTTTCAAAAGAACATATTTCACTAAACAAAGTTCCTTGGAAGAAAAAAGCTTTCTAAAAAAGCAATTTTCTACAGATAAAAATGTTGTGAAAAAGAGTTTTTTTAAAATCATTTTTCTTTTTATTTTATTCATATATAAATCTTACTAAATAACAATATTTTTTTCTTAAAAATCTGTTTCTAATTCAAAAAATCAAATCTTATATTTAAAATTAGTTATATTATTAATTTGAAATATTAATAATATATATAATATTTATTCTTTGATAATATTTAATATACTTTACTATGTTATAAAAACTCAAAATCTTTATTTAAAAAATTTTTTATAAAAAAATTATAATTAATTTACTTTTATTAATTAATTATTATTTTAAATATAATCAATAAAATATTATTAAATATTAAAACAAATATTTGTATTCAATATATTTTATAATAAATAATATAAACAATAATCAAAACAAAATAATATATCTAATGTTAACCTATTTAATAAACCTTAAAATTAAATAGATCAATGGACAACAATAGCAGGGAACCACTTAATTTAGAGAAAAATAACCTCATTTTAATATACTAATATTGGTAAAATAAAGGAATTGAGCAAGATTTATTTCCAAGACAAGAGACATGATAATTTGATTATGAGTTCAAGATGGTTTTTATTAGAGAGAATTGAAAAAAGTTGGGAAATTTTTTGAACAGTTGAGAAGAACAGCTGTCCTATTTATATATATTTGAAACATATAAAACTAAAAAGTAAATAAGTGACGAGATATACCAGTTTAGTCAGATATGTCTAATATTCTTAATTATGTTGCTTAGGTCATTTAGACTATTCTGTTCAATCAGGTTGATCAGATCAGTCAGGTCAATCAGCTCAATCCAGTATATTAGTCATATTTGGCAAAAATATCATATCTATTCGCTATACTATATATGCTAGATAATTAATAATAAAAGTAATAAAATAATATAATACTATAAAATAATAATTTAAAAATAGTACTACTAATAATCATAACACTAATATTTCTTTTAATAATTATATAAACAATATTTTTATAATAATAATTATATAATAATAATTTTATAATAATAATTATATGACCTGTGGGTCTATAGTGTAGTGGTTAACACTCCACAGGTCAGATCACAAGATATCGGTTCAATCCCAGGTGAAGGCGATTGAATAGAACCTACATGGTATCTGGCACCATAACCTGCTATGTGCTGTTTCTCATGCGAAGCCGTTTCACACGCTGATCCAGCGGGCGTTGAGATTGTGATCTCCAGAAAAGGTGACGCGGTGCGACGATCATCCGGTTGGAGCATGATGACCGCCAGAAGTTGTCCTATGATGGTAAGACTTAACTACCGAAGTAAGAAGACCTTGAAGCTAGTGCAGCGAAGCGGTGACCACCTGCATCCTTG